GCACCCGTGAAGATGGCTTTCATCTGCTTTCTTTAAACCGGTCCGTGGCGCAAAAAAGGTTGGAGACCCATGCTCGAATAAACATACACACACACACACACACACACACACACACACACACACAACGGTACAGCTACTGCGTAAACACAATTGATATTCAAGGTGTTGACTTACCTCTGCCTTGGCAATGGGCGCTAGGCCAGCTCTCCGCTGCACCAGCGGGGGTTTCTCTCCTGTCTCCAATGGGAAAGCACGTGGCAATTTCCCAGTCAGCTCCTGTAGAGGACATCGATTAGCCCCCAGTTACTGAAATCCTTCTCACTGGCCACTGAAGTGCAAACTGTTTCATAAAGTGATAACCATTTAACGGATTACTTTAAGTCTCTTAAAAAAAAAATAAAAATAAAAAAATTCCTTAAATGGTCTAGATATGGCACGAGATATATGCCAGCAATAATTTGGCTGCGTTTAGCATTTACCTCTAAAGCAGAACCATAACTCTGCAGTTGAGAAGTGCTTCAGATGTCTAAGTAAGCTACACTGACAACAGAGCAGACAACTTCTGAATCCATAAATAGGCACACAGATAGAATGAGTCACCATCCAGCTGAAAACAGGGATGTGTTGAACAGCTGTTAAAGAAAAGCTGAGGCAGCTGCGGATTCATTAACATGCACTGACAGGCTCTCAGAAGCAATCAAGCAAAGATTTTGTCTGTGAAAAATATCCCATTTTCAACAAGTTGTTAGCTGCAGCTGAGCTCAGATGTTCACGTTTATTCTCATTTTTACAGAAGACTTAAATTTGCTGTTAAACCACACTGCAGCTATCCTCTCATCGCTTGAGGTGTACGGAGAGAGAATCTAAGCTGAGCTACGTTTCGAAGATGAAGCGAGATCGACTCACAGCTTCCTGCAAACAGACTTGTTTGAGCTCTCCCACTCTGGCGTTGAGGAGAGCCTCCAAGGCCTGCTTCCTTTCTTGCAGAGTTCCGATCCTCTCAGCCTGCAGCTTGCCATCCTGGCAGCCTTGAACATCTAGGAGGCACAACGCATGAAAGTCACTTTTGCACACAGTGAAATTCAGATGTGGACTCAAACTGGCAGTGATTTCATTAAAAACGCAATCTTGTGGGTTATGTTTATACTGTATCACAGTGTCGTGTTTTTGAAGGTGTCTGTTCTCAGAGTGCTCTGATAAGATTATCTGGCAGCTGTAGTGGCAGTATGTGAACAAAAGGTCTTCACAAAGACAGATGTTTTTTCAGCTGGCAGTTCCCTAGAGAAAAAACTGGCAGGAAAACAAGCAAGCTGATGGTTTCTCAAGCCTTTTCAGACTTGTCCACAGATGGAAGTGTGAATCTTTACACTGTGAATAGTCATCATTACTCACCAGGAGCCCCCAAACCCATGGATGTGATCAGATGTCCTTTGACCTCCATGTGATGTAATTCTGGGGACTTTACAATTCACGCTCTCAGCCACACCCTCACCTGAGAAAGAGAGATGAAGGTTTAAAATGTATCATTAGCCAGCTTTGTGTTATCTGGAGGTACAAGACACAAATATTTTAGAAATCTGCCAAAAACCTGTTTGAAATATACCCAAATGTGAGCCAGTACACTGGACTTATGTGAGGAGTCAAGTAAATCAAATGGGCTGATTCTTATATAACGCTTTTCTACTCTCCTGGAGCGTTTATATACCACACTCACCGGAGCTGTTTTCTATGCTTTTTAACTAACATTCATACTCCAGTGGATGCATCAGAGAGCAACTTGGGGTTAGTATCTTGCCCAAGGATATTTGGCATTCAGACTCAGGTAGCCAGGGATCAAACCACCAACCTTCCAATCAGTAGACTGACCTGCTCTACCTCCTGAGCTACAGCCACCCCAAGCATTACATCCAATCACTGAAACTAATTTTTCGGTTCAAGTAACATGAAGTAACTGTAACTGAGCACTGGAAATAGCAGCCACAGCACATACATACATACACATATACTGTACATACGTGTATGTATGTATGTATGTATGTATGTATGTATGTATGTATGTATGTATGTATGTATGTATGTATGTATGTATGTATGTATATATATATATACATACATACACACACACACAAACAAACAAAAAAGCATTCGATCAGATGGCACAAGGGTCCATCAGGGGGCGCTGCTGTCCCTCTGCTCAGGTATTTAAAGACTGTATCACTAATTACGAGTTAGTTTCTGTAACAACAGACTTGTGGGAGAATATTTGACTCAGAAAGAGAAAAGACAAAAAAATGTCTTAGATCAGAAAAAAAAAAGGCACCAGGTGATAGCAACAATTTAAATGAAACCACAATAAACCCAGTTATGACGTATGCAAGATTATAAATTTAGGATTTAATGAGTTCTAGAGAACATTTTGAGAGTAAGTTCATCTAGAGTCCAAACATAACTTGCAGACTAGGCCTTCTGAAAGAGAGTAATACTCTAAATACTCCAAAATTAGCCCTTGGATGCAATTAGTAGCCAATTAATTTGCAAAGAGAAGGAAAATGAGACGAGATAAGTAGCATTAATAATGTATGGACAGATACAGAGGGAGAAATCTAATCCCTGTGTGTTTCATGCCTCACAAGCTCAAAGCTACCATCACAAAAAAAAGCAAGAGAAACAGAGCCAGAAGCAAAGTGTTGGAATAAGTAACAAAGGCGGCAAAGAATGCAATCAGTGGCATTTCCTCCAAGCGACTGTCATAAATGTCAAGGTTCACACAAAATTCACATCATTTTAAAACTTCTACATATAATCATCTATTTATCTGTTGAGAAGGAACAACAGATAATCGGGGGGAAAAACTAAGACATGTACTGTTTTTACTAAACTGTTGCAGGTGAGCCACGGTTCATATACTCTCTTCTACATAATGGAGATTCATTACAAACAAAGCCTCTTCCCTAATGCCCAGTAGAGACTTGACATCCAAAAATAGCGATCGCGTTTTCTGCCAAAACCTCTCGCTCGGCGTTGCTCACAAATCGCTGCCGTAAATAAGCATCCTGCTGTCTTCTTGCCAGTCGAGTAAATCATAAAACGGCTCCATTCAGCCCACAAATCTAGATGGAAGGCCGCAAGGGCTGGATCAGAATTACCATTTCCAAAGATTGCTTCTGCCAGTGTCCCATCTTTCAAAAGGAAACATTTATCTATCAGTTAGTCTGAGCAGCTGTCTCAGAGCTATGCTCAGATTTTTGGCTTTTTTTAGGCCAGAAACATTAGAGTTCTGTTTTCCTGCCTCAAACAACACGACGCTCACTTTCTGTGAAGACATACTTGAAATATTTCCAGAGTTTGCGTTGGCTCCTGTTCTGGAAGTGAACCAGTAAGTGCTGTTTGCTCCTGTACATGCGAAAACCCCCGCATGCTTGACCTCCTATTGACAGACAAACAGGAGCCTTTCACACAAGCAAGTGGTAGACAAAAGCTCATCACATGAATCCTGTTACACAAAACCGAGTTCATGATGATTAAATTTTCAGTTAATCTAATACACCAAGTGGGCTTTTCACCTGGGAGTGTACAAGGCAGTGTCATGTCTGTTCTTTGTTGAACAGCCGAACAGTAAACCCACAGAGAGAAGCAGTCGAGAGGAGACGGAGACATTTGGTATTCATCTGGACTGTCGCTGGGCAGCTGGAGCCAAAAGGCTGCCATGCCCCTAAGAATGGCTTTGTCCAGCAACCAAAACATTTCCAAGGAAATTCAGTGCAATCCCCCCCTTTTGTTTTTGTTAAACAAAACTAAATGTGCCCACTCTGTCATCATAAAAACACTAAAACCTCCGTCCTCAGTGCAGATATCACTGGTTCATCTTTGCTACTATAACAATACGTCTCACACTTCCTTTTTATAGTCTTACAATGAGCATCCTAGCAAGAAACAACACATTCTTCCTCTTACTTAGATAAAGTTTAATTCCTTAGCAAGCTGCATTTAATTTATGTCCTGAAGAAGGAATTCAGTGCCACATAAATTGGGAACACCAAATCATGAAATAGTGTGTGAAATAATCTGTTCTGTTTCTGTTATGCAGTTGAATAGCAGCTGAAATATGGCAGACATGTTTTGGCAGCGCATTATGATGACAAATTGAAGACCTCAATCAATGTGACCGTAATGAAAATGGGCTTGAAACTTTCAATATCATTTTTTTGTGTAATTACTTCACAAATGGATAATTTTCTCAGTTATTTGTAATTGTTAATGTCAGGTTGTTTCTTCAGAGTAATGTCTTTGAGCAAAAATTAAAATCATTCTGCAATGGCCCCTTTCTGTGTTTTGTGCTTGTATTTTGTAACTGTACCATTAGTTTTGTCCACAACAAACCACAAACCAACTAGTACATTTGCTTTACTTTGAAATAATAGGAATAACTGTACATTCCAGCTTATTACATTAGGGTGAAACCCACCTGATAACCTCCAGTTATTTAGACTTGTGGGTAAAAGCGGCCTATTATGGGAGGATTAGCAGACATGGCTAACAAATACCTTAAAGACCTTTATTCACCATCCCTTACCCACCTAAATGACATCTATGAAATGTTTGTTGGCTGGTTGTAGGCTACTCCTAATTTTTCCTGCTGTTCAGCAGTGGTTGAACCTACAGTGCATCTTATTATAAAGGTGTTTATAACTACAGAAAGAGAATGCAAAGACACCACAATGGGGCTATGGTTAAAACACCATAGCAGTAATCACTGTGTAATAGCAGCTAGAGGAAAGGTGAAGACCAGTTGCAACAGATCCACCATGGCCACACTTAACAGATAACACACCTGAGGGGATCAGCTGCATCACTACCTCACTACCTTAAGTTAAGTGCCAGCTTTGTAAGCACCTGCTGTGCAGAGGCACAGGTGTGACAATACAGGACTGCAACACACTTCAGGGGGGGAAGCATGAGTGAGATGGTAAATGCACTACTACATGAACCCTTTTCCCGACATGACATACGTCTGATGCTTTTTTCCAGCACTTTCTATCACCCACAAAGGAGTACAGCATCTTGCCCAAAGACACTTTAACATGCAGACTGGAGTAGCTCAGAATTGAACCACAGACCTTCTGATTAACGGATGACAACGACCTCCTGAACCACAGCCGCCCTCACAGAATCTGAGGAGATATAGATTTTAAACACCACAGCTTCAAACACTTGTTGGCCGAGCATGCGTATGGGCTGTGGATGGTGGTACAGATAGCACTGAAGGAACCGTGTCGATGAAAACATGAGCCGTGTGATGAGAGCGAGCTGCCCTGTGCAGCTCGTATCACTCAAATGCAAATCGAGGAAGAGTTTAATATTCTAGACGGGCTAAACACTGAAGCCCGTACCGTAGCTCTGATCCTCCTGTGTCCACACAAGGAGCCATAATGCTCTCTCGTCAGCTTAGAAGTGATGCATATTAGCTTGAAATATTCACAGCAAAGCTACATTCCTACAGACAACAGTTTTATGCGTCGTCTCCCTTGATAAACACGATGGCTCTCGGCTCTTAAACAGATTCACTCTCTCTCTACTGTCAGCTTTCATGTGGCCCAAGAGTCCTGGGAACAGGAAAAGCTATTGTTGAGAATTTATAATACACATATTCAAGACTTAAAACTACAAGTCTTAATACAGTGCGGCAGGAGCTTTTGCAGCACCACCACATGCTGCACAGCAAGTTTATTGGTCTCTTTCAACAGGCGGCTGTGGTATAAAGGAGCAGCTGAAACCCCACCTCCAGCTAACTATGGGCAGGTGAGGCCAGCAGCCCTCATGTTGACCGCTGGTGTTGACACAGCTGCTGCTGTTGTCAACTTACACATGTGAACCAGAGGAGGGTTACAACTACACAGCTCCTGTTAGGCTAGCATGAGGATCCCCCGCTGGTTCCTGAGAAGTTAATAGGCAGCAGATAGTTAAAAACTACAGTTTGCACCACTGTCTGTGTCAGTTGTTACAAAGCAGTGCCTCACTGCTTTCACTGGTGCACCAGGACAGCATTTCTCCGTGTCTAAAGCCATACTGATCTAATCTATAGGAGAACAGTAATGCAACTCCCAAACATTGACTATCAGACCCCAAGGACCCTGTAAGGATGGGAGTAGAAATATAAGAAGGAGGAAGATGTAATTTATGATTCAACAAAGAAGAGATTGGACAAGGTCAGACATACGGCTGATTCAGAGCTGCCTCCACCTGAGCAACCCCTACAACTGTGGATGGAGGGCTTATGCAGGGGTCAGGTGACCCTCCAACCAACCCCGCGCACCAATGTGATCTCTTCGTTTTGCTCTCTATATCCATGAAATACTGATTTATAATGCACTTATCAGCACAAGGCAGGGCAGCTTAGCCAAGGCTGACCAATCGTATAGCTCGTCCTCTCTCCCTCCCCGGGCCTTGATGCTCACCTTTGTATGTTTGACACAACTACCACAGGCAAAACAAAGCAAAGCCCAGTGATTGCTATCCACCTGGATTCCGCTAAGCTGAGGTTGGAGGAGTGGAGGGTGGAGTAATAAAGAAAGGAATGTGACTCTAACGTCCGAGGGGATTATTGCTATACATTTTTCCTTTGGTCTGTAACACCTGGAGGGATTTCTGTATGTCCAACGCTGTTTTTAATGCTCTGTGGCTTGCTGTAATCCACTTTGCTGATTCTGGAAAGAGTTCAGTGCTTTTGTTTCGCTCAGACTTATGAAGTGCAGCCACAGCAGCCACGCCATTACATTCAATATTTACACACTAAAGGACCTTGATCTGATTTTTTTGTGTTTTGAAGAAAAGTAGGTGAATACGCTCCCCCATCTGTAGTACTACAGTCGCTTGATCAGACTTTATTCCTTGGTTCTAGCAACAAGATACTTTAGATGAAGCTAAATGTTTCTCATTTTGACTCTGTCTATGTGCTAGTAAGAAGTAGTGAAACGACTAGAACCAGATCAAGCAGCCAGTGTTTCTTTTCACACTCTGTACTTAACGTGCATGTTTTGTCAGTTACCTACTACAGAACTACACATTCAAATTTGTGTCAGCCCATGTCTTAAGGGGATTGTTTAAAAAAAGAAAAAGAAAAAGAAAAAATATTGTAACCTTGATGCAATGGTATTAAATGTTATTAAAAAAAATGCAACTGTGACAAAGCTATCTGGGTCAAAGTCCACGTCCATGGAATGTGACTGAATTATACTGAAACACAACAGCCAAAGGGAGTGCTTTGTACTGTACAGGCGAACAGAAACACTAACATGACTGGTTTCATCCTAATCCCTGTGATCAAGAGGAAACTGAGCATGAGAATGGTTTCCCAGCACACCAACCCCTTTGCTTGTAAATGTCATGTCCCTGCACTAACAACTGTAAATAAAAAAGGAGCAATGAGCATAAGGCTTCAAAGGAAAACCCTCTTGTAAAAAACAGAGGTGTTTCCCAGAAACGCCAAAAGGTGGACTACAGTGACTCGCTGTAAAAGGCACAAACACATTTTTACGAGCCCACCCCACCAAAAGGGATCCTGACGGACAGGCTCGCTCAGGGATCTGTTAATAATAGGAGCTTAACGCTGCTGCATGTGACCGAGCAGTATTAATAAATGAGAGGAGTGAAGCAATAAGGCCCAGGAGACGGCAGTAACAAGATGTTCGAGTCTGTTTTTTTGCTCCATAACAATACAGCAACAGGGGAGAAGTTATGCATTCCCGGGAAGCTTGGCACACATTTTCACTCCTTTAAAAATTGAATTTGAGACGTTCTTGCAGTTCTGCCACCCCCTGCCTCCTGACGAGCGTGCCACACAAACGACCCGTTGCACTGTTTTCTGGCACAACGCGTACACAAACGCAAGGCTCTCACTTGATGCGGTCCTTGCATTCATCGTACGGACATGTGATTTGGCTCAGCATAAAGCACGCGTTCGCACATCCAGTCTGCGCTGATCCCCGCATCTGCATAGCCGTTGCAGACGGCGGCGCACCGGCTGATAATGAAACGCACCGGACTCATTATGGAAGCGATAACACATCGCAGGTGTGTCACAACCCGCCACGGTGACAAACGTCTTTTCACATGAGCTAAATGCGTGAACAGATGCGAGGACGTCTTGCGGACTCGCGTTTAGGCCGATGCATTTCATTTTATCGAGAATATCTCATTTTTTAAAAAGCCGTACTGGTAGCTATTAATTAATACGCCCATTTAGGATGGAAGAGGACATATTGGAGCAGAATCCCCTCTTACCAGAGAGCATGACTGATGCCTTGCGAGGTCTCCATGGTTCTCTGGAGCGAAAGCAGGGGGAGGAAAATCATTCCTGCTTGTTTTTATTGGCAAAATGTGCGGAGATCCACGGAAAAGAGCTGCCCGTTCATGATGGTTCACTATCCCAATTGTAATTCACCAGCAGCCTCGCGACCTCCGCTGCGTCGGAGCTCTGCGCATCTCAACAGACCTGCTTTCTGCGCGGCATGAAAACGCTCTCTTTCACACAGCCAGCTGACTCCAACACGACCACAGCGACGATGCCCCTCCCCAGATGGTACATGCCTTCAATGTGCGCCACTCGATCCGCTAATAAGAATGTAACCCAGGTGTTGCACAGTAGCGTGGATTCATGTGCAGCATTCAAGGTAACCCTCTCCAAACCCCCAAGAGACTTTTTTCCAGATTTAAAAATTGATACGTTCAACTCGAAAAATTCAAATAGTCGTTTTAGTTTTACTGCTTTCTATGTCAGAGATAATTTGGACCGCACCATACCAAATTATAGCAGCCCAACATGGCTTTTTAATGGGAAGTTTATTGCGTTCTTCCATCCTTAATTCCATAACTTCAGTTGTAATAAACGTCAATAATGATTTGATTTCTTTTATACAAAGAGATCCAGATTTTCTGGAACTCTGACAGTTATTAGTATTAAAAAACGCATTCAATATCCTTTGAAGTGCTAATGTTTCGGATTGGATTAATATTGGACTAATTTCAGGGCTTCAAATGTTGTAAGAAAATTCACTGTAAGTATTAACAAGTATATCCGATCCAGAAACAGCTTTATACTAATTAAAATATTTTTTTCAGCACATCACCAAATAACGGGCGAAAAAGTGTCTCAAAACAAAAAAGGACCTGTTAAACACCTGTTACCAGCCAAGTGAAGCACACATTTCACTCTCTGAAGACAAAGTTAAAGGCGAGAGATCCACAAACAACAGCTGCGCTAAAGTCCTGGCAACAAATCATAAAGGGGAAACTGAAATTTGTGGTTAAATGGTCCGTTTTGCCTGAGAAAGTTCGTAAGTAGCACTTGGTTCTTCCTTGATTATCTTCATCAGTACAGGACAACCTGGAGCATCTTTTTTGAAAGAGTGAGTTCCCAGAATTCATAGCAAAGCTTTTGACCGCTCATGAAGAACGATCAACAAAACCGACAAAGTGATAACTGCTTGTTAAAGGCACAGCTGAACTTTGAACATTACACTGTTGCAGTCAAATTTACACGAACTCTCTCTAGAATCTGATTTATATTAACTGATCAAAGTATGTTTAAGGCTTGCTTAGCTTTATAGGCTATATGTTCTCTTTAGGTTATGTGTTCCACTGACTCAACCATAAAATCAATAATTAGCAGACAGCAACCACAAATTGATTTTACTGCATATAAAGTTTAAGTCAATTAATTCTACTCGTTGATGACTTAGACACATTTGGCAAATTGTAAAATAATACAAAATATTATAACATTATTGCCAAACATTACATCCACAAAGACAAAAATGACCAGAATTGAGGAAAAACCTGTGTCAGTTCTTCAAATATGTTTTAATTCAAAGACTAAATAATATATTTTTTAAAGAATAACCCACTGTTCCCAAATATTTCAACATATGCACAATTACTTGAGGAAAACATAATTAAAAAAAAATCACATCAAGAATGTATAAAATTTCACATTGTTAAAACTTACAAGAGGTTTGTAATTTGGGGGGTGAATTATTATACACTTATAAAACAAAAACAAAACACATTATACAGCTGAAAATACAATTAAAGGCCAAGTGTTATACTACTCGAGAACAGAGACGGAAGGACACTCGTTAAGTGCGTATTATTATTTCAGATTTATAAAGAGTCATCATCTGTATGACGATTGTTGCTACATCATCAGTTTAACAAGAGCATGTTGTTCCAAAAACAAAACCTCAGAAAACCAAAACTAAACCTTTAAGGAAAGTGTTCTCTGCTCTCAGCCAACATGCTGCCAGTCACAACAACTGTAATCCCGTTGCTGGGTTTTAGTTTCAGATTTGTGAGGAATGTTTAACTACATTCATCTTAATCTGTTTTTTGTGTTTTGAGATCTTAAAGGTGTTTTTAGTGTCAAGTCTAAGTACGGGGTCAGTGAATAAAGTTTTCAGTAGATATATTGTGAAATATTCTCACTCGACATGACATTGGGCTGAAATCGAGAGAAATTACAAGTACACGAAAGTACTTTTTTTTTTCTTTTTTTTTTTAAGTGTTACTTATGCATACTTTGCATAACCATCCACACTGTCTCTTTATTTGGGGAACACTCAACTAAATACTTGACCAGTAATGTCACTGTATGCTCTGGATAATCACTATCTCAGATGTCTTGGGTCTTTTTAAAACAGCGGCTTGCTCCTACTTATAGCTTGTGGGTTGTGTCTGAACTTTTGCTTCTGCTCTAATGACTTTAGACTGTCATAGTAATAGGGTGAATACAAATTTAGCGTAATATGTCCATACTAGGTCAGTTTGTGATGATATATTTCCCACTTTTCCGATATTTCTGTTGCAATATAAACACAAAAACTCACCCTGTGAAAGCAAAAAAGGAGGGTAGGTTAGATTTACAAGAAAAAAGCTGACCTACCCAACAGCTGTTTAAAAAACAAGTTATGAGATTAAAGTTATTTATTTATTTATGAGAACAATTGTACTTTGTACTTTTTTTTCCTGTCATAGGACAACGTCAATTCATTTTTAAAGGTCGTATGAAACTCATCACACCACACCCGCTGCTGCTAGGAGCACATTCTGCCTTCAGTGGAAGAGCCAATCAAATAATCGACTACTTTGCAATCAGATTAAGACATTTAAAAAATGCTTGTAATTTCAGCCCAGAATCAACATGTGATTATTATAATCCAGTATGAATGGTCATGAATTTGAAATAATCACATAATTCAATTTAAATAACTATTTCTAATAGAAGGGTACCTTTGGCAGCTCCCTTATTTCCCCAAGTGGTCGCCACATCAGATGGATCCACACATCTGATTTGCCACCGGATACCCTTTCTAACTCACATTTATCTGGCCTTAGTATTGTCACTGGGAGCAAATGCAAAAATGGAGCACATCAAGCAAGAGCTAATGGAGTGCTAGTGACAACAGTGATGGCACTAGTGAATATATTATTAAATTTAAAAAGAAAGCAGTTGAGGTGCACACTTGTTTTTACCAAAACAAATCTTCTATTAACTTTGTCGTATGTAGTATGAATGAACCCGGTAGCATGACAACAGTGTTAATGCTGGGAATCAAACCTGTGGGCTAATTCCTAGGAGTACAGTTGTCTGAAAGGGCTACTAAAATGTGGAATAATGGTAAGGAGGGCGAGGGATATTCCTCAAGTAAGAGTGTGAATCAACCAACAGCGCACTAACCACACAGAGGGCTGACTTCAGCCTTGTCCAACACACTGCCAAAGCCAAGACACATAACAGTCAAGTAGAAAAGCCCTACACCTACATAATAAAACATCTGGGAAGAAACACGCCTGGATTATAACGTCACAACTCCTGAAATGCCTTTGGTGATTCTTAAAATAAACCATTTACAGTCCAGAGGTAAGTCTGTAAAGTTTTGATATACATCATCACCAAAAATTACAATAAAATGGGACAAAGTGTCACCAGAAAACCAGTGGTCTCCACTCTGCTCACATTTTTCCCCATTTCTGTCTGTGATGATGTTGAAGTCAGTGAAGTGCTCTGCAGTTATTACAAATGCCCACATTCTTCTTCACCAAGAAATCACATGTTGATGACCGTTCCAGTATGATGGGGTCTTTATAATGTAATGGTTCTTTAGGAGGCATCCCCTGGCACACAGAGTACTTCTCCAGACCCAAAAGCAGGTTGACCACCTCAGTCACCGAGGTTAGACGTGCTGGGTAGCAGTCGTACAGCGGGTGGGTGGGGAGCAGCGGTTGCTTTTGGACCGTGACCTGATAGAAGAAGCCCGGGTCGATCAGCACCATGGTGTCAGTCATGCTGGACTGCTTAGAACACTGGATGAGCTGCAGCTGTGGGCCCTCCACCATTATAGCATACCACAATATGGGCAGTACAGAGGAGCGTAAAGAGTCTAGTAGTTTCATGAGGTGGTTTTCTGCATCTGTACCAGTCCCAACCGAGTTATCAGCCAAGCTGAAGATCTGTGTAATCTGCAGACAATAAACGAATAACAATACATACACATATATGATTGTTTTGGGGGGTACGGGCAGCCTCAGCAGGACACTTACCATGGGCAACTCATCTTCGTCTTCTTCAACAACTTGCTTTGTAGCTTCTCTGGCACTTTGTGCTCTCTCTGCATCCCATCTGTTTTGCTGCTCCTGTATTGACAAAGTTGGTATCATGAGAGTGACGCCTTAGTCTTTAACTTAATGCAAAATTATAAATATTAAACTACACCCAGCCCACACCTGCACATCAAATTGTGTCAGAGTCCAACAACGCAGTTTATTATTAATACACTGAAACCGTTTGAAGACAGAAATGGACCCTTTGTGGAAGTCTGCAGCTACAGGAAACCTCTGGTGCTACTAATGGAGATTATGTGAAGTATCGGGTAGCAGCCTCTGGGAATCCCACAAATAAACTTGTACAAACACATTGTAGTTCCTCAAGTTGCTATTTGAGGCTGGCTCATAAAACAAGTCAGATCCCACAGAATCTTAAAGTCTGGTTAAATAATTAAATAAATAAAACAACACCACACCACTGTATGTGGGTGAATTTTACATAATTTGACATTATTAAACTGTTACTTTGTACTACTTAGCAGCTAGCTGTGTCTGTTGCATACATCCATACACCATGCCAACACATCTTGCGAGGGCTAACTACAATTCAGCACTCTAACTTTTTATCCAAATATGCTCACTTGTGGCTCGAAGAAAT